CCCAGGAGTTAAGAGTAGCTTATGCAACATAGGGAGACCCTGTCAAAAACAGCGAATACTAAAGATGACTTTGTCAAGAAATGAACATGATTGAAGTGTTATGTCAGAATTTATGAGAGTCCTGAATGCTCAAATTGATCACCCATTGCATACATGTACATGTGTGCATTCATGTTTACATATTTTGAATGTATAAACACTGCATTTACTAAAGGTGGTGGGTTCTTTGTCTTAGAAATAGTTTGAGAACTACTCTGGTTAGCACCTGTCCACCTTTCTATGTAATTTATGTGTTATCAAGTTTTGCATGGCATATTTTAAAAATCTATTTTGGGGCAAATGTCAACTCGGGAACAAAAATGTTGGCACTTGATAAAATTCATCAAGTGTTCTTACACAAAAAGAAATCATAGGGCAAAGCACTAAGAAGACCAGATGAAAATCAAAAGCACTAAGACTGGAAGGGACAGAAAGACAAAACACCCAGACATCTGTGTGCTGATCTGGATGTTTGTTTGTGACAGGGTGGTGCTGTGGGAGAGGGAAGAGGAGCAGTTTGCTTTTCTGGGCTTTCACCTGGTGGAAGTGGCAGGAGTGGAAATAGCAGTAGTTTGTTTTTCTTACAAACCCAGCCAGCACTTTGAAAGCAGCATGCGCGCGCGCGCGCGCACACACACACACACACACACACACATGCACGCACACACACTGTCATTTTAACTACTACTACTGGCCCAAATCCAAAGGGATTGGCCAGAAATGAACCATTTTTGGATATGCAGATGACAGAAACTCCCTCAGATAGTCAGGGAGGCCAAGTCCCGTTAAATTTAAGGCCATGTTTTAGAAGTCGAAAAGCAGAGCTGGTGGTCTGGTCTGAAGGTGGCTGGGTATGGTCTGGCTTTCTAATTTATAGAACTATTGCTTGGTTTGCAGAGTGAAGAGTGTCCCATGGCCCTGCTCCATAGAGTAGAGTCCCTGGTCATTCTATACACATGGAGAAGACTCAAGCCTCTTAAAGCCTCTTACTCCTTGAACTCTGACACATACTGTTTTGCAGTGAATTTTTGGTTTTTTTGTACTGGAGATTGAACTCAGGACCTTGTGCTTGCGAGGCAGGCGCAGTGCCACTGAGCTAAACCCCTGGCCCCACAGTGAATTATTAATAGTTTTAAATTGATTTTACACCTAAAATTGAGGCCATGGATATGACAGTGCCTACCTTATATCCTGTAAGACTTAATTTATCCATCCTACTATCCCTGCAAAGGTAGTCCTGGCTAGAATACAGAAGTAATGAAAGCAAGACCATTAGGCAGAGGTGACTCAGCCCACATTCTCATCCGATGCAGGACACAGGCTCTAACAAGAAACATACTTCAGTAGTTCTAGAAATCACTGCTATTGAAATACCCCAGATGGCAAGCCCTTATGAGCATGCTCATTACTAGCCAGATTTGAATATGCATGCTAGTGAAAGCTGTGTGGCCTGAATGCTTGCTGGGTTATTTGAAACACTTGCTTCTGAGGAAGACACATGAATAGAATATAGGGTAGATTAGAAGCTATTTTCACAGAACTAAAATATTTTAAAATCATCATACATACTTGTAGAAATTCATACCCAGCAGAAATCAATAAGATAGAAAGCAAATTCTCCTTCTGAATCTCACAATGGTTAGTTTGCTTAATAATCCTCAAATGCAGGCATGAGGATCTGGGGCTTCAGAGGTGAACGTGCCCAATGTGGTTACTGCCTTCATGGGCCCATGTAGGCCTGTGTTTTAGTGGTAGAAGACAAGACTACAAGCAAGGAAACAATAAAACCAAGCCTGAGAAGGTTTCTTTATATGGAGGTGGGATGTGAATGATTAAAAAAAAAAATCAGTCTTGAAACTTTATGGGATTTTCAAGATGACTGCTATAGTTTGGATCTAAAATGTCCCCTAAAGGTCCATGAAGTAAGGGCTTGTTCCCTAGCCTATGGCACTATTGAGAGTTGTGGAACTCTTAGGAGTTGGGTTCTAGTGAAAGGAAATTAGGTCACTGCAAGGTGTGGGGGGTACTCTTGAAGGTGGTATTGGAACATTTGCACCTTTCTGTCTCTGCTTCCTGGCCTCCATGATGTAAGCAGCTTTGATCCACCACACACTCACCACAATGTTCTTCCTGGCCACAGGCCCAAAAGCAATGGGCCAACTGACCACGGTCTGAAATTATAAGGCAAAATAAACCTTTCTTTCTTTCTAGATGGTTATCTCAGTGACAGAAAATTAAGACAAAGACCAAATGACAAGTGCAAAAGGCCATGGAACTGAAAGGCGGCCCTCTATGGCTGGTACTTTCTGCAGAATGAGAGTTCCCAGAGGGGAATGGGGTCAGATCAAGGTAGTCAGGACTGAGACGGAAGTTCTGTTGCATAGTAAACACAGTGAGAGGCCAGTGATGGTTCCTAATTGGGGGCAAAGGGATTTTCATTTTTGAAAGAGATTCATTCAAACATACAAACATATAGAAATATATATATTTTAAGCAAAAAATGGTAACATACAGTACATATTTTGCAACTGGTTACTGGTGTGCATTTGTAGAACTTCTCTTTCACATTATGTTCAGAGTCAGTTTTCTATCTCTCTTAAGACAATGAAACACATCTTACTTTTGACCTTTTCTACCTACCCTTATGCAGTAACTTAGCAGGAAAAACAAAGATTTGGCATTTTAACAGTTGGTACCACAATATCGTCATCCAATTTGGCTCTGAAGGACGTTTAGATTGTTTTAAGACTCAGACATATTCTCAAAGTTATTTTCAACAAACTCGGTGCCTACAGACACTTTGAGCAGCATCACTGCAACATGTATACAGCCTAAGGTGCTTACTTTGAAATAAAAAATATTCTTTTGCAGTTATAAATTTATTTCATTACCAAGTGATTGTTAAGCAGCAGCCACAACCACAGTAACAGGCATTAGGGATATGTTAATGATGATAAAATCTCTTTCCCTACTTACACTCTAGTGGACACCCAAACAAGCAATCAAAATAAACGAAGTATACATTACAAATTATGGCTGAAGATTGTATAAGAGGCTGGATCTCACAAAAATGGAATTCAAAGGCAAGAAATAAGTAATACACATGCTAAGGGAAAGAACAGTTAGATGAGATAGCTACTGCAAAGGTTCTCGGGTAGGAATCTGCCTGATAAGGCTGAAGAACAATGAGGCAACATTTCACTACCTCGTTAGTTTTGCTAAAGAGAAAGTAGACAAAGTAAAGCTTTTAAAAAAGTTCAGGTCCTCTCTTTTCTTTCTTTCCTGGTACTGGGGGTTGAACCCAGGCCCTTCACCCAGTGCTACATCTCAGACCATTTTTTAAATTTTTGAGACAAGGTCCTGCTAAATTGCTAATTGCTCAGACTGGATTTGAACTTGCAATCCTCCTGCCTCAGCCTCCCAGTGAGAGCACTGGTATTACAGGCACGTACCACCATGTCCACCATTACCTTTCTTAGTTCTTTCTTTACTATAGCAAATTTCTATGAAGCAAAATTTCTTTCATCCCTGGGCTAAAAGGTCCTTAGGCCACTTTTAGGCTGTAGCAAAATTATTTATTTTGCCTTGTATATCTGATAGGATGTTGGTGACACTCAAGTCCCTGAGGGTGTTGTGGGCGGAGCCGAGCTTCCTAGCCCTCATCTCAGCCCTTTCCAAACTTTCTGAAATTATGATTGCTAATGGTAAGATCATAATAGGCTGCATCAGGCCTTGCTTATTGAATTGATGGTTCTAGCTAATCAGGGGGAGAGCTCTGCGTTTTTGACTCCGAGTAAGAGAAATGGTCAAATGAAACCTTCAACGCTATGTCAAAGAACAACTGTCCTATTTCTTTCTTGAGATGGAAAGAAGTGGTTATTTTGCGGACTGTCCTGAGCCGTCTTGGGAGCAGGGGGACCCCGCCCCCCCCCCCCCATCAATTGTCTGGATTAGGGAGGGAGGTAATTCTTGGCAGTAACTGGTTTCTCCCTAGCCCCAGCCCTGTGCAAAACGTCCCTACAATAGGCCCTAACCGGGCTTGTGGTTGTCATTACCCGTGTTTCACAGCATCTTGTCCTCAACTTAGACCCAAGGCAAAGAGAAAGACTCCCTCTAGCTCTAAAGTGGTCAACATGGCCCAACTCATTTTTTTACCTTGATCTTTCATCCAGAATTGGGGATAAGTGCCTATAAATTGGGGCGGGCACTCCTCCTTTTCTTGTTCTACAGTGCATTTCTGTGTTCTCCTCGCCTACTGTTTTGATTTCAAAGTGGCCTCAGGAGCCTCCTTAAAATGCCAAACCTGTTTTTCTCCTTTTGAGTAATAAGTACTTCTTTGTGTTTATAACCCAACTCGCCTCCAGCCTTTTCTCCATCTTACATCTTTCCTTCCCTGGGGGATTTTAGGCTCGTGTAATTTTCTTTGCACGTATTTTGCTGAGCGGATGTGCGACATTTCTGCATAAACTTCTTGTTGACGAGTGCCAGTTCTTCCGCCTAGGTCCTTTCCTTTGCCTTCATTTTCCATACACTGTCTCTCGTTGGGTTGTTTGCACCTACCATTCCTGAGGCACGAACCTCCCTCCCCCTAGAGTCTAACCTAATTCTGGTGTCTACTGGTGTTCGGTTCATTCTCCACGTGGCTCTTCCGGGAGCTTCACTTTTCGCCCCTAGGATGGAACCTGGGACTCAGCGGCGGGGTGGGGATCCCAGAACTTGCTCCAAGGCAGCCCAAGCTCCCTGCCCCCAGGGGGCCCCAGGAGCGGAAGGCGTGGGGAGGGGCCGGGGAGCAGGGCTGGTCCGGGTGAATCACAGGGCGTAACAGGTGCCTCAGCCGCAGCTGCGCCCGCCGCGCGCTGGGGCTCCAGGGAAAAGGTTTTCTTTTTCTCCTAGTTTTTTTGGAGATGAGGAGGTGGCTCCGGGGCCCCACTTGACCAATGCAGGCCACTGTTGTTCGTCGCCTAGCAACTGGTGGAGCCAATGGGCGGTGGCAGGGCCTGCGGCGCCGGCGCGGGGCGGGGTGGGAACTCGCGAACCTGCCGCGGCAGGGGGCGGTGCGAGGGGCGGAGCGAGGGCGGCGGGCTCGCAGTCGGAGGTAGGCGGGAGCCGCGGCGGAGACTGTGCTGGCCCGTCGGGCTGCTGGAGGCGCGTGAGGGAACCGCGCGAGGGAACCGCGCGAGGGAACCGCGAGCGGTGACTCCCGGCGCTCCCGGCAGGACGGTGAGCGGCGCGCTCTGCTGCGGGGACTGTGACGTGGGCAGGCGGCGGGTGCGGAGCCCCGTGGGGCTGGGGCGAGAGGCGGCGGGCTGCGAGGTGAGCGTCCGCACCCTCACCGTAGGCGACCCGCTCCGCGGCGAGGGTCCAGGCGCGGCCGTTGGAGGGCGCGGGCGAGCGTCAGGCCCGCCTGGAGCGGGAGGGGGCAGGTAGGTCCCAGCCCCGCGGTCGCTCCTGCTGGTGGTCGCCGCTACGGGAGCCCCAGCCTCTCCGGGATGCAGCCAGGCAGGGGATGAGAAGCAGCGCGGGGACGTGGGGGAGGCGAGGGCGGCCAGTTGGAGCCTGTAGGGGCTTGGCGATTTGTCAGTGCCAGCCGCCAGAGTTATGGGGTGGCACCCGGCTGGGGCAGGGGACGAGCACCCCAGTAAGATAGCGGTCTAGTTTAAAGTGTGGGGGAAGAATTGGCATCATCTAAGAGGGAGGCATATTTTAGAAAATTGGGGCTTAGAATTTTCCAGTAAAGTACAGTAAGCCAAATTGTGAGCTCCCTACACCTCTTTGAGCCTGTGGTAATCGCCCAGTTATGCAAGTCACTTGGGCCCAAATTGCTCTCAGTACCCATATAGACATCTTTATATTTCAGTACTACCCCAGTTTTAAGGTCCGTAACTGTGAATGCCAAAGTCGTCACTAGCAATGGAGATACATTTCTTGTTCAGTGGGAAAACGGAGATTTCCCTAGGGTGGTTCAGAAGTAGAAGGGTGCTGACTTCTTGAGTTGCAGGGCTCCACCCAGCAATTTAGATTGGAGCCTCTGTCCGTCCCCGAGTTGGCTGTGAATGGTGGATGCCATGGGATCCTTTCTGGTTCTTCTGGAAGAGACTGGAGGTAGAAGAAAATCCTAGCAGTTTTATAATTTGATCCTGAACTTGAAGAGTCTGTATGACTGGACACATTTAGAAGACTGCCTAAAATTTGAAAAGAATGACCTGGAGAGAAATGTCTCTGCAGTTTAGATCAAGCTATCTTGAAATTTAGAAGTTAAAGGTAGATTTATAAACTTAGATGGAGCCCATAGAACTTAATCCATCAAATCTTATTCTAGAGCTATCAGATGCCTGCAGGCCTAAGAAGCTTAGGTTATTCATTCAAACTAGAGAAGTAGAAGCTAATGTCTACTTCAACGCTTTGTTCTGTCTCCTATCAATGAAAGTTTCTCAAGCAAAAAGATTCCTTGAGAATTAGGTGCTGATAAATGCTCTTTTCCAGAATGGAGGGCCCTCTTCAACCAAGTCATTTTATACCCTTCCTTTTCTTCTCTTTCCCCATCTGTACAATGAAGATAATAAAGCCCTAGGATTAAGTAACATGAGTGAAGCAGCTTGAAGATAACTGCAAAGACTCAGTTATTCTAGGATGAAATGTGCAGATATCCTCATAACACATTGCACACTGTGACAAGACTTGTTAAGCACATTGTGTTCTAAACATGCTGAGGCAGATACATAAAAAAAAAGCGGATACATTAAAAAAAAATCTGTTAAAATTGTTTCCTGAAGGCCTAAAATCCAGCACAAAGTCAGATCATATACTTGACTCTTCTTAAACCTGACGATCTTCTCATTAGCCAAAGCTATGACCCAAGTTTTATAAAAATAGACATTTGAGTGCCTTCTATGTAATATGCACCTAGAAATAAAAAGATGAAAAGACATTGTGCCAGAATAGTGTGATTTTAATTTATTCCTCATGCTTAAATTGGAGCAGTAAACCAGGCGTGGTGGTGCATGCCTATAATCCTAGCAGCTTGGGGGGCTAAAGTAGGATTGCTTGAGCCCATTATAGGCAACCTATTGAGACCCTAGCTCCAAAAAAAAATGCCTGGGAGCAATTCCAAAGTGTTCTAAAATAGGATTTTTCTATATCTTTAACAATAGTTATGAACCTAACTGGTTTGGCCATTTTTCATGACACAAAACTTTTATATTGTGTCATTGGTGTTGGTAGTATTAACTGGCAGTGAAGGTACAGAAAAACAGTTCATTATTAGTAATGGTAAACAACCTAGAAGCATACCTTAGTATCAGCAGTACTACGCTTTAGTGATTCTTTTAATGGCACTTTATTATTATTTATTAAACACACCTGATACCTGCCATACTTAAAAGGTAAGTATTGCCTTGAGAGAGTTGTATAAAACAAGAAATTTACTGGGTAGTAAAGGAGAAAGGGGAAAAATGCAAATATGGAAAGGATTTAGAAAAGAATTTCAGCTGTGTCTCAATAGAGGCGGTGTTCACCGAGCAGTTGGCGTGTTCTGCAGCAGTTGTATGGGTAAGGAATTGCAGGTGGTTTGGTTGAGTTGGACTCAGGTGGAGTTGTGTTAGAAATAAGGTTCAAGAAGGATGTGGTGAACTTTGAGCAGCAGGTGATAGGGAACCTTGAAATGGTTTTGAATTATGTTTCGTTTTTACTTTAGAACAGTATTTCTAACAAAATAATTTGAGTGCTCCAAAAGCATTCTGAATGACCATGGACAGTTCAAGTAGTATCTGAAAGCTAGTGCCTTACACAGCAATTGAACTTGAAAAAAATTTTATTGAAACCTTTAGACATTTTAGGAAAATGGAAATAATCATATAACAGACTTCTGCTGAGTATCTTCCATTGTTAAGACAGGGTGTAGGGATTCAGAGATAAGATATGGCTCCATTAGGAGAAATAACAATTATAATGCAATGCAGAATCTGAGTGCTAGTGCAAAGGCTTGAAAATATCAAGCTCTAGAAGTGTAGCATTCTGAGATAAAATGTTTATTGTCTTTCAAGTAAACAAAAGTAAGTTCTTGATAGAAATTAAACTAGAATCAGTTAAACAGAACAATTTTAACTAAAATTCTACATTTTTATTAACTCTTGCTTCAGGTTTCCTTCCCCACCTCCCTCATAGTCTCCCAAAGCAAATGTTTGGTTTGATCATCAGACTCCTAGCTATATAATCTTGTTCCTCATTTGTAAGGCGTGGTAATAGTACCACCTGCTTTGTAGGGTTATGATGAGTAGACAAATGTTAGTATCCCAACATTGCCTACAAAATAGCTTATACTTATTGTACACTTAATAGCTCTGTTTTTTGTTTTGTTTTGATGTTTTGAGACAGAGTCTTGCCGTGTATTTTAGTCTGGCTTTGAACTCAGTATGTAGCCCAGGCTGGCAATCCTCCTGCCTCAGCTTCCTGAGTGCTGGGATTACAGGCATGTGCCACCACACCCAGCTATTATTTGTGTGATATAAAAATGCTGTAGGGCTGGGGATTTAGCTCAGTGGTTCCTGGTTCCAGCGCCTGCCTCGAAAGGGTAAGGTCCCGAGTTCCATCGCCGGTACCAAAAAAACAAAAATGCTGTAATTAAGGACTGACTTAGGACAGGATGGTGACTGATGACTCCTAAGCCTGCTCCAGTGTCCTTTGGTTTTCAGGCAAGGCCTAGAGTTTATCTCTATTTCCGTGTCTTGCAAGGATGTCTCTAAGCCCACAGAGTTTTGCAGTGAACTCATCTCCACACACCCAAACCCAGTCTTACTAACTTTATTCCTCTGTTCTCTTTATCTAAATGACACTGTGATCTGTCTGGGACCAAAGATAGTTTATATGCTCGTCACCATGTGCTTGTCCAGTCTCTAAAGTATCTATCTGCTTTTCACTGTACTCACTATTACTGGGTAAGTCAAGCCTGCCCATTCATTTCACCATTTGCTTTATCTTTCTTGAATAATTTTGTTTGCATATCATAAAAGTGTGCTTTTTAAAGAAGGGGAATGCATAGCAAAAAATTATTTTAAAAAATTACTTGTATAATTCCTGGCATGCAATGTGCACTAAGAAAATATTTTGGGGCCAGTGTTGCTAAAAGTGGAATTTATTTTGGAAACATTGGGTTTGGAGGAATTTTGCAGAATATCGTTCTAAAAATATTATAGGACTAAATATAATTTTTAGATTATATATAGTCTAATGAGTGTAATTGTTAATCCACAGTGGGTACCAACTACTGCATATAATCTTTATACCATATGAGTCTTGAATTGGTTAATCTTTTTCTAGTTATTTGTAGTCTCTTTGTCCAAAGTTTTGGAATATCCCTCTAGGATCTAGAATATAAAAGTGAGACATCACCTTAGAAATAAGTCATCAGTAAGTATATGTCAGGTATATTATTTTATTATGAGGAGATTTGTATCATTCACTCAGGATACTTGTTGAGTGTCAAGAGGAGGCCTCACTAGTGAGAAACAGGAAGCAGGCCAGACCCCAAGCCCCACAGATGATGGGGGCATATTGTAATGCAGACTTTCAGTCCCAATCCTCCCTGGATCTCTGCAGGATTGTTGCATCCCTTCTCGCTGGAACCCCAGAGAGTGCAGGATTAGACCTTCCTCCTGCTGAACAGGTGACCTTGATTGGCGGAGATAAACCTGTTAAAACTGGGGACCTCTTTCCTCTGGTACTGAGGTTTAATCATAAGAATAAATAGGTTGAACCTACAGAGTGTTAAAGTACTACCTGGGACTATTGATTCAGACTGTTTGGGACAAATTCAGGTTATGGTTTATTTGCATGATGTCTGGGTGTTTGGCAAGGAGATTGTATCAGCCAATTGATTCTTCTACGTGTTGTCAAAACTAGAGCTGCTAGTCGAGAACAGATCCCGGGTAATATGGAACCTGGCAGAATCTCCCACGAGGAGGTGTTCTACTGGGGATGTTACAGGCCAATGGCCCATGTGTATTGTATTGTGTCAGTATTGTGTCAATGCAAGTGTGTCAGCGTTGTTGAAATTAAGAATTTTAAATATTTTTAGGAGCATTAGTGTGTCAATGAAGGGAAAAGAAAGTAAAAGAAAAGGCAAAAGAAATGTGAGGGGCGCAGAAGCCTCTCAGCTGGACCAATGGGGCAAAGTTCAGAGTCAAAGTGAAAGTAAAGTTCAAAATTAAAACAAAAGCAGAATTAAGAATTAAAGGAAAGTTAAAATTAAAGATTTTAATATTTTTAGGGAATTACTATGTCAGTTAAAGGCAACTGAGCGTGTCAGTGTTGTGTCAATTATGGAAAAACATTTGCAAGGGTAAAATGTTTTGTTGGGAAAGAGTCTCAAGTCTGTATAATGCATTCAATTTATGATGTATTACTTGCCATCGAGAATTGATTTTTTTTCCCTTTGTAGAAATTCAATGGGCTTTGATACAGCAGGAGTTAAGCATAGCCCCAGAAAAAAAATTCAAACTAGTTCTTGTGGTTATTTAAGAACCTGGTGTGGGGCAGGGGTTTTATTTGTGCCCTTACAGGAAATGAATGGACAATATGGATACCAATGGAGAAAAGTGATTTGACTTTCTTCAACAGGGAGAACTCTCCCAGATGACAGCTGAAGAAAACTATCCAAGAGGCAGAAAAAACTTGTCTGTCGTTGAGACCTGGGTTGGCGAGGGACTTTGGATAGGCCCTTTGGGGGTTATCTTTGACTGATGATCACAACTACAACCCTCTTCAGTAGGAAGAAGCCCAAACAGTCTTTGCCCGTTGCCCCTTACGTCAGTTGGGGGTGCTTCCTTGGAGGGGGGACAACTGATTTGGTATAGGCAGTTAGACAGGACTGTGCTCTTTGAAAAGAGCCAGTACAGACACACTGCAGCCGAATGAAGGCCTAGTCTTTGAAAGCCAGATCTCAAAACAAAAGATAGGATATTTACTTGCTTCCCCTAGGCCACATTCCTGCACAGATAGGATATTTTTGTGCTTCCCCTAGGCTAGGTTCCTGCACATATTCTTATAGATGTGTTTTGACATACCAGGCATCTGTGTGAACTCATTATCCTAGTTCATGCGTATGCACAACTATGTGGAATAGGTGTGAGAGGTATACTGGATTGATAGAATTTGCCATTTATCTTAATTGAGATTTCTGTTAAAAAACAGGAGTGCTATTCTGTGAATAAAGGCCCGGGTCTTTTACCCCCCCAGCCCACCCCCAGGAATGACATTTGTAATGGTTTGTAACTTTTACAGAGGCTTCTCTTGGATGTGTATGGTTTGATTTAACAAAAAATGGTGATCATGCTGTTCTCATTAATCCATAACTTCTTTTTTGTACTTTGCACACAAATCTGCTTCATAATCTAATAATCCCAGAGAGGCTCTTTGGGCTTTTACTGTATGTATTAGGCTTTAGTTCTTTCCTTATGATGGATATTAAGATTGTGTTTAGTTTCTTGTGTTTCTTGTGCGAAATAACGATGCAGTCTGAATGTCTTGTCTGTTGTGCTTGCTCACTTGGGTGACTGAACATGTGGCATAGATGTCTAGAATATAATTAGTTAGTGGAAAAATTTACTCATTTGAAGCTTGTTCTCTAAAACAACTTCTGACCTCTGGTAAAGTTCTGAATCCCCTACGTAATTATCTGCATAACTGGAGGACATTTGTATCGTTTCTAACTAGATTTTTCCCTGCTCTTGTGAGTGGCGCCACTGAGCTAAATCCCCAGCCCTCAACAAGCCTTTTTGAAAATGTTTTTTTTTAATGGCATTCAGCTATTAGTTTTGCTGTTTGATAGTAGTGCTGTTCACTCCCTTTGCCTCTTAGCATCACTTTTGAAAACATGAATTTTTTTTTATTGTCTAAAAAAACACATT